GCGAAAAACCTCTGTCCATTGGATTAATTCTTATCACTTCTGGACAGATAAAGTGACTGTCAAGAAACATCTCTGGCTCATTTATAATCCATTAAGAAACTTCACTTCTGGGAGGGAAGAATATAAATCACTGTAGCTGGCACTTCAGTTGATTTGAAGGGTAGATGTGCCAGTGTGAGCGGAAATGAAAGCAGGGCTTGTTGCCAACTTGGCAGTGTAAACTTCTGGAAAGACACCAGTCAATAACATCTCCTTTCTTGTCTCCAAGTTCACTTGTGTCACTTGAAACAAGATGCCATCAACCAAGCCAAAAACTTCCAAGTTCTATACTCACGGCCCACTCCATTCATGAGATTTGTGTTAGGAGCACAGTAACAGGGACAACAGAACCAGCTATTCCAAAGTACTTCATAGTCACGCCATGCAAATAGAAGTTTCCTAAGCTATAGGTACATATCTGGTACACAGGCAGGATAAGCAGAACTTTCTGAAAGAAAGCAAGTTTCTTGCACAGTGACAAGCACAGCTAATTGACTTTCTGAATATAAAATATTAATTCAACATATAAATATGAGAAGAAGGAATAAATAAATTCACTTAATACAAATTTTCTCTGTGTTGGTAACCTACTAAAATCCAATCACATCAGTGGTCAAAGGAGAGATTCCTCCGATGTTCAACCCATTCATCCTCACTGTTGATCTAGGGCACTGGCAGTAGACAGCTCAATCCATCACAGGTGTGTAGAACACAGAAAATCTTGTTGGGTAGGATTCCTCCACTTCAGTATCATGAAACCCATCCTAAGACAAGCTGCTGCTGCTTGGGACTCAGCAGGAACGGGTGTCTGACAAAGTGGTTGTGTCAGGGATCTTCCAGTGTGGCAGTGTTAGTCACACAGACAAAGCTGCAGTCTTGATCCAAGGAGCCTGTGTACTAAAGATGCAGCCCAGCAACAGTGAGAGATCGGATGTTACTTCCAGCTGGAACATCTAGGACTGTAGCATGCCAGGCAAACTGCCTTAGCCAGGTTTCTCAAATGCTGTGTACCCAAGCTTTTAGTAGTGTTCTACATAGAGAACACTACAGTTGAGCAGCAGCTATTCCTCTGGGACTCAATGTCACACACAAATCCTCAGCAAGTGGAGAAATTCATCTGCCAAGGACACATCCAGAGAAACTTTGAACTAGTGCAGGATGGGCAGCATCCAGTCCAGGTGCTTCATGCTCCTTTTGTACTCCTGTAGGCAAGAAAATCTATCCTCAGCTTCTCCCTGAAACAAAGCTGAGTAATGGGGTCCTTCCTAGATTGCTAAAGGGAAAATAGGGTCTGTCTTCTACGTGCACTGCAGTGAACTTTAAGAAAATTGTAAGAAACAGCCACCTGAGCTCTTGTATACCACTTCTAGGACCCAAGACAGAGTTACATCAGCAAAATTAAGGCAGCTTCAAGGTTTTATTAACTCAACGGTGCAGTGACATCCACCCCATAGTCTTCTGTGAACCTGCTGAGAGTGTGGTAGAGTTGGCAGGACAGATTTCACTCAGTCCTTTAGTGGGTCTGATCTGCCACTGACTGGAACTTCAAAGCAGATGAGAAATGTGACTTGCTCAGACTAGCTTTCATGGATGGTGACACAAGCTTCAGGGGAGAGGTGAATTTGGCATGTCTTAACTTGTATAGAGAGAGGAATTTCCTTTAAATTATTATTGCTCTACCAGCCATAAAGCCTCAGATTTCTGTTTGTACACGACACTTCTCCAAACAAAGGCATTATACTGCATGTGTAAAAATCCACCCACTGGGGAACTGCAAAACTGAACACGCCTTCTGGAGAAGTAGCTTCTACGAAAAAAGTCAACAACTCTAGAAAAAGGACAACAATTTTCATAAAATTGAGAGAGAAAACAGAAAAATCCCTTACACTTGTATTTCTGCTTTCTAACACATGGTGCATATGTTTATCTCTTTCACTGCATGAGAAAATGGCTGCACAGCTGCCTGGAAATATCAGTGCAAGGTCCCTCCTCCTCAGTACAGCTTAGTCTCGTTAATCTTTCCAAGGTCTCCCCTTTCCACTGTCTATTGCACTTCCATCTTCTGGGCCATCACTGTTATTTTCTTCTGTCAAGGTCACTCTTACTTTTGTTCTTGTCCCGTTTTTATTACCTCCCCCCTTCTTCTGTTACCATCTTTCATGCAAGTGCCACTCAGCGTCTCTGTTGTCTCTCTTGCTAACTCTCTTGACGAGCAGAGCAGCTGAAAGGCAGAAAATTTTTAGAAATAGGAGAAACCACAGTTTTCAAACCTGGCTACAGGACCAATGTTTCTGCTGTCCCTTATAAGCAGAAGTCACTGCAAAGAGAGTCTGTGCCCTCTGCTCTGGGTGAAGATGCTGTGTTCTCACATAGTGTCTCAGTTTATAACAAAAAGGCTTCTGCATGCTGACTAAAATAGCAGAGGAGAGACAGAGCAGAAAGGGTTGGGAGGTGGTGTTCAGCTGGAACAAATAGTGCTTCCAACTGAGTATCAGGGTAGTCTATAGTGTCAACTGCTCTCTTTCTGATTCACAGCTCAAGAGACCTGTGTTTTCCACAGCCCTGTGTTCAGCAGGTAGTGTGGCACATGCACTTCTGCAAATTCCAAAGCAGATAGGTGATGCTCACTCCTGGCAGTGATCTGGCCATTGACATTCCTCAATTAGGCATTCAGCTCCATCCCTGCACCCCTGCACCACTACCACCACCCTTGCTGCATAGTTTGCTCTCAGAGCATGAGTGACAGAGGGTGTCCTCTCAGTGCCCCAGAAGCAGGACAATAGCACAGGATTCACAGAGCCTGAGGGAATGATTTGCTGGAGCACACAGTGTTGGCCTAGTGCCACTACCATGGAGGTCAGGGACAAATCAGCCATTGGCTTATGAAGCAGCTGGTACTATTGAAAAATGCCACCCTTGGGCTCTGTGAACTTGGGCTGTGTTCCCTATCCCACAGTAGAACTGAAAACATTTTTCATCCACAGTCCCATGGACAGGATGGGCAGTAGAGAAGAGCTATGCAGACAAATGTCCCTTTCTTCCTAACACCACTTTGAGATCTGTCCTTTAACCAGACTCCTCCACAAACTGACAAAATCACAATCCTTTAAATAGGAACTCCTTGTTTTTTGCATACACAAATTTGTATGCAAGTAGAAGTGAGAGAGCCCATGAGTTGTCAGAACCCACCTAAGGCCACATCCAAAACTTCAGCTGAATTTAGCTTCTTTCAACAGCTGATTCTGTTTGGTAGTTTTTCTCCCCTTTTAAACAGATGCCCAGAAGCAAGCAAACAGCAACAAATTAAATATCCTGGGAGACCTGCTATGCATGACTGTCATAGTTTAAGCATCACTGTTGAGCTTTCAGATACAGTCATATCCAGGCAGTGCAGTGCCAGCAAGTAGAAGGACCATCTGAAAACAATTTTAAAACTTAAGGTACACAATTGAAGTAATGAAACATGGAAGCAAAGACTTATAAAGACACTAAAATGAAACTAAAGAGACTTGCCAGTGTCAATAGACAAAATCTGCTGCACACCCAGCCTTAACAGGAAGCAGGAATTCCTTGCCTAGAGATGTCTTCTGAACAAAAAGTCGTGGAAATTATAAACTCTCTAAGAGCACTGTCCCTTGGATGGCACCAGCCCACAGGTCTATGGTGAGATGGCAAAGTGCATTCCTCTGAAGTAATACATGCGGTTATCTCAGAGCACATTACAAAACTGAGGTGGAGATGGCATTTATATTGAGGTTCAAGTCATGCTTTTTTTATAATGGAAATGTAATTCTGTGGCCCTTTAGTCATTCTTCAACTGTGAAGGTCCAGAGTCTAAGGTCTGGCCTTCATAAATGGTAATTTGCTCATGCTCAGTTGACTCTGATGTTGCCCTTTGAATGGACACATCAACAATATGAGTTAAATTGCCTCACCCATTTCCACTAAAGCACTTCCTTTTTTATACCATTTTATCAATGCAAACTGGAAGCAGAGATGACAACTCAGACCTGCAAGAGTGAACTTTGGCTGCCGTGTGAACTGTTTACCCTGACCACTGCGTAGTGTCACCCACTAGGCTCCAAAATCAACATGAACTACATGATCTGATGGGCTTAGATAACATTCACCAACAGCAGATAGAGAAGCACTGGAGAAGTAAACTGTCATACTCCAGCTACTGCCTCATGAATTGCAACACTGCTCAGGCGTAATATACACCTCCAGCCAAAGAAAGGACACACACAGCTTATAGATCAAATCCCACTTTGCTCACCTACACAAAAGAGGACTTAAGCATGGGCCTAGATACTGTTAAATTGTAGTATAGGGGGCTGCTCATAACACAAACTTTTGCAGGCACTTCGTCATGCCTGCTTGTACTAACTTAAAAGCAGCTACACACTTAAAAGTTTACCCCCTTTCAGGATATGGCTCTAGCACAGTAGTCTCCTAGGAATGCTGCAAGCATTGATACCTTGCACTGTCCTCAATCTGTCTTTCAGAACTCTGCCCGATGCTCCCTGGAAAATTTCCCGGAGTGGTTCAGCTGACAGTAGCATTAAAAATCACAGCATGTGTCAATAGGGTTCTTTGTATCAGACATTCAGAGATAGCACACTGCAAAGATGCAATTGTTGCAGCTATGTGCTCTTAAAAGACTGCTTCTGTCTCAGGGAATGTCTTTACCAGAGATGACCATCTCCAAGAAGACAGCTGCAGATCTCAGCCAGTGAAAATAGTTTATTCCCTAGCAGCTGTATAACTTCAAAGCTGTATAACTTTGCTGCAAAATTCACCACCCAAGTTTTGCCCTTAATTTGAGGGTCATCCATACACAAAACCTCTTAAATCTTTCCACTGGCACACTAAATTAACAGTAACACTATTATTCATGCCAGTCACTGCTACGGCAGCTTCCCTGCCACGTTAGTTTCCCAGGACTACTGTTGAACAGATACCTTGTGCTGTCCTCATCTTGTCCTTGAGAATTCCTCCCATTATTCCTTGGAAATTTTCCCAGAGTGGTTCAGCTTACAGCAGCACTAAGAATCACAATCACATGTCAGCAGATGGTTTTGTATCAGATGTACTGGGATATAATGCAGTATCCAGATACAATTATCACAAAGTTAGCTTAGTTATATCTCCTCTTGGTTTTTTAAAAAACAAAGAAAGAGAGAAAGAAAGGAAGGAATAAATAGCAAAGTAAGTCAACAAGAAACCACAATCCCTTCCCTAAGCAGTAACCAGGCTACTGTGCTTTGGAACTTTTCCTAATATAACAAAAGACACCATGAAGACAGGAACTTTGGCAGCAGTGGTTTTGAACTCCACAACCTCCTCTGGTTTTTTACGCATATGTCACCGGAAATATAATGGACTGCTAGGAAAGCAGTCAACCTCCAAATGGATATCTCAGCAGCAGCAAGCCTCTGGAAGTTACTATTGCTGGAATTGAAAAGAGATTTCCAGCGAAGCAGCCCCAAATTCCTGTGTTAACCGATGTCCTGTTTTGCCTGACCACTGTCACCATAGTGACTGCTGGAGCTGCCGCCGAGCCACTGCCCTGCGGCTCGGGCCGGAGGCGAGCGGGGCGCTGTGCTGGGAATGAGGTGATTTAGGGCCCGGCGATGGAGATGTGGGCCGTGGAACAGGGCGCTGAAAGCAACCTTGGGGTGCACTGTGGTGGGAAAAACAGCTTAAAATGCAAAGAGGTGCAAGTACCTTCCCTGAACGCCAGCCTCGAAGAGCCAGCACCGCCACAGCTGTTGCAATGCTACGAGAGGAGTCAGAAGATGAAGGAAAAGGATGAGGAGCATGGGGAAAGAAGGCATGCACAGCAACGCAGCAAACACGGTTTAGCGGAAGCTGGAACAAGCTGTTTCATTCCCCTCGACATCATTTGTGTGGACTGCTCCCTCTCCTGGGGAAAACTTGCCAAAAAGAAAAATCACAACCTAAACCGTTTCTTCAAGCAAACGATGCACCCACAGAGCTCACAGGCAGACAGTTCCCATGCTTCCAGGTCCAGGAGAGTAGGGTGCAAGACCCCCGTGCTGCCCTTCCCAGTATGTGGGTCTGCCCTGGCTAGAGGAGTCCCGGGTGGCCAAACCAGCTGTAACCTCCGGCCCCCGGTGCACAGCTAAGCACCGCTCCCACCTGCACAAACAGTATTATTGTCTTCTCCCCGCTGTGGTGCTGCTGCCAAGCACCACCCAGACCATCCTCCGCCCTCAAACCAGTGGAGCTACCCGGTGGTGCAACAGGCGAGGATCCAGGAAACAGTGCTTGCAAGTACTTTTCGGAGTGAATGCTGGAGTACAAATTCCCCTTTGCTGGGAATTGTACAGAAATCATCAGTTCCAGTAAGGTGGAACTTTAGTGCTGACAATTTTAGCCACAGAAATAAATTTCGGAGTCTGTGAGCAAGAAAAAGGAAGGACAATCTTGAAATACTCTTGTGGTGAGAAATATCACTTGGTGTGTGCAGCCTGGAGGAGTCTGAGGGGAGACATCATTGCAGTCTCCAACTTCCTCATAAGGGGAAGAGGAGGGGCAGGCACTAATCTCTTCTCTGTGGTGATCAGCGACAGGATCTGAGGGAATGGCCTGAAGTTTAGGTTTAGGTTGGATATTAGAAACAGTTTTTTCACTCATAGGGTGGTTGAGCAGTGGAACAAGTTCCCCAGGGAAGCAGTCACAGCACCAAGCCTGACAGAGCTCAAGAAGTGTTGGAATGATACTCTCAGGCACATGGTGTGACTCTTGGGGATGGTCCTGTGCAGGGCCAGGAGTTGGACTTGATGATCCTTGTGGGTCCCTTCCAACTCAGCATATTCTGTCATTCTGTACCTAATCTTTACTCCTTTAGGATTCCAAAGTGCAGTTAAAATCTTTGCAATGAAGCTAGCTCAGAAGACCTTGCAATAAGATTAGAACCAGCTGGTGAAAAATGGCACGTTACAGCAGCCAGTAAATATCCACATGAACCAGCCCTGGAGAGGTGAAAGGCTCTGCTGAGCTTAACAGCTCATGAGCATATACCATATTATCTGATACCGGTGTATGACTAACACCTTCTTCCTTCTAAATCCTTGACCATTTGATGATCTATGGTGTAGGAAAGATATCATTTAAATGGAGAAAATTAAAAATGAGGAAAGAATTATTTCAATTTTACAGGGGGAAGAAAGTGGGATAGGTTTGCCTGTAAGTAGGAAGCAGTGGCAGGGCTGTAAAAAACCCAAAGTAGTTCATTCCAAATCCCTGAATTCGACCAAAGTCATCCACCTTGTATACTACCAAGTGCTATGACAGCTTTCTGGAAGCTTTCATCCTGGTGATGCAAGGACAAAAAAAAGCCCTGCTTGATTCTTAATAGTCCAGGAGAGTCATCATATGATACCACGTCAGGCAATCATGCAATCAGCAAAGGTCACAAGACACAGAGCCATTCCTTTTGGCTTTACAGCTGCTTTCCACAGCCAAGACTCCTCCTTCTTACACCATTTTACAGTGAAGTGCAGCAGCACTTGTGCCTGCCAAGCACTGCAAAGCCCTACCATAAGTCAGGTCCTGTTAGAGGCACATAATTTTTTAGTGTCTACAGGTGCCAACAAGAGAACCATAATGGATTTTCAGCATCTAATTAGTCTAAATAGATTCTTACTGACTGCATCTGCAGCTGCTTGGCAACATAAATGGGGTGCAAGTCTCACCTGTGCAGATATGCTAGGCTGGGGTTGAGGAGGGAAGCTTTTCCAAAAGATAGAAAGGAATGTAGAAAAGTCACTGTTGTCCTACATCTTCTACAAGCTAAAAGAGGAAAGAGGTCTTCCAATAATTTTACTGTTCTAACTGTGAGTTACAGCTACCTAATTCGAGACTCATACTACATACGTAAAAGTTTGCATGACGAGGAAAGGTCCTTCTCCTGAGGAACTTTTAGCTTTATTAGACTTACAGGCTTTCTTAGGTCACAGGTAGTACCATCTCTGTTTTGCAGACAGAACACAGATCGGGAGCCAGACTTCAAGTGCTTCAGTGATGTGTAAGGCAAGTCTAGTAAAGGCAAGCCAGAAGGATACACAGGAACAGGAAAAGTAAATAAATATAAGTATGGAAGAGTCAGGACTTTAAAAAATAATATCCATTACAACCTTGCCTGGGCAATGCAGCCAACCAGTCTGATTCCCAGGCACTCAAACAAACTGCTCTTCTCCCACAGAAACTGCCCCTCTGCTGCTGGAGCTGTAGCATGGTATGGCAGTCATTGCCTCAGACTCCAGAGTGTGCTTATCCAGACTCCTGTGCTTGTCACCAGCCCACCTCTATCCCAGATCATGGGTGCAAACTGCAATGTGTTTGTGTGTGTGTGTGTGTGTGTGGAGTTCCCTTCTGCCTCCCTTAGCTTGCTACTTCTGGCAGATGCATTTGTCAGTAAGCTGTGGAAAAGCTCAGTTCTCAGGGCCCTTAACCCACTGATAACCATGACTACTCACCCACTAATTAAAAAGTTCAAGGGCACACAAACAGCTTGTAACAGACAACCAAGATTTCCTGCATCTCTGACCTCTGTCATCCCACCAGACACTGGACATCCCTGTCGGTGTCAGGGAATTCTTAAACCTGCCCAGAAGGTGATGCATCAAGTCTTTTCTCTGCACCTTAACTAGTGTTTAGGAGATCAGTGCTGTTTCAGAGTCTGTCACTTCTGTCACTGCTGGGTTCCCTTAAGGAAGCCAGTTTGGTTTTTTGTGCCCCAGTATCTCCATCACTTCTTGGTAATTCTTGATCCAAAGAAGGCATGGGCAAAAGTAAGAGTCCAGAGACTAAACTGCCTGGTTTCTGTGAGAGCAGCAAGACAGGCTACACAACAAAGAAAAAGGGCCACATAGCCTGGATTGAAGGAAGGCCAAGTAGTGTTCAGCTACATTTTTCGCTATTTGTATTCATCCCTAATTTTCATTAAGACTTCATAGAAATTGATTGACCATGTCTGTTTAGATAATAAATACCTTGCAGTGTGGGGGAGAACAGCAAGTAAACCAAACATAAGAGTTCAGTATTCTAGAAAGAGATGTTGCCTAGATGGCCAGGATATTCCTACTACTGATGGCACATAGCACGGAGGTGTGACCCCACAGCAAATATTAAATTAAAAGTACTGCATAGCAACAGGAGAGGCAGCAGCCAACTTGTTCTCACTTGATTTTGGGAGCTGTAAGACCAGCCAACCACCCCTCCCCCTCAAGAATGCATACAACATTCCCAAAGCAAGTGTTAATGCTGGATCTCAACCAAGAAAGAATTCCTATAGACCCAGGGGATGAGAGGAGGATGTTACACTGCTTGCTTCTTTCCCCTTTCCCCCTCATGCCCCATTCATCCTGTACTTGTACTGCCCCTTGCATAAGGGCCTTTAACACAGTGGCCAGTGGCTCCCAGCAGGATGTGAGGCACAGGAGCACACACTGCCTGCCTGCCCTTGGCAGGAGTTGTTCTGACTAATGGAAACAGCAGAAACTCGAGAGACAGGCATGGATAAGTCTGGAAAGTGCTGAAGGGGGAAACTCCAGGTGGAATGCAAAAGGATTAAAACCAGCAAGAGCACAGCAGCATTCAGCATCAAGTTATTTCCCAGTTGCCCTTGCCGAGCATGGCTGGTTGTTTTCTTCCCCCAGGTAACACTCTGATGGGCTCCTGGGATACCTCACAGTACAAAACAATAAATGGCCGAGTAGCTTGTAACTAACACACATTTGTCTCTTAAGTGGAAGTGGGGCTGCAGGGCCAAGCAATCCCTCTCTTGGAAACTGAGTGCCACCTTGTGCTGGGAATGGTAACAGTCAATGGATAAAACCCAGCTTGTCCAGAAAAGCAAGGGAGAGAAAGGGGACTAGAAGCCGTCGATGGAGCAAAGCTGCTTTAGGCGTTTTGGCTTTTGGAGATCTCTCCCTGGTACCAACCAGCATCACTCCCAATATCCCGCTGTAGGGCAGAGTCTGCTTTTTGAAGGGACAGGTGGGCCCTAGCGAGCAGCTCTTTGCAGGTATGCTGTGACCCCAAACAGCAGCACAAGTCAGACCTCAGCTGTAACCGTGCACACCCCTGGAGGTGTCAGCTCTGTCCTTGGCACAGGCAAGTTCAGGGAGAAACATGGTGTCACCTCGGACTGTAAAGTTTTGCTGAGTGTCACTGACATTCCCACTGGAGCCTGGTTTGCAACAGGTAAACCTGTGAGTAGTGCAGGTTTGGAAGATGAACCAGCAAAATGCAACAAGAATTTTACAGAGCAATTTCCAAATGCAAAATACTGCTAACTGAAACCCAAGTGCAGGTGAGGGAAGGCAGCTGGCTTGCTTGGGGAAGGTAATAGCAGGGTTTGAGTTTCTTATTTGTTTCTTTTAAAATTCAAGGCTTTTTTCTAAAGATGAGTTAAATTCCATCTGGTCAAACTATATGATGAAAATGAACTTCTGGAAACGGCTGCTTCTCTACACTGATTAGCATAGTCAGCCCCATGGAAATGTTTTATTTGTTAGTTTGTTCAAAAATGAGAGGTTGTTACTGTGTGCAAATGTATTTCAAAGTCAGCCTAAAAGACTTTGCACTGCTGTGGGCCACTTTAGGTTTAGTCTTTTTACAACTTGGAACATTTTCACAAGCTGGCTATAGGATTGGAGACACTAGTACTTTGAGTTTTATTTATCTCAAGGTTCCTTCACAAACTTAAGTGGGGGGAAAAAAGCAGCTTCTGGAAGATAGTTCAGTAGCAAGGGAGGAATTCCCTTGCAAGCACCTTGGAAAGGAATAGGGTGTGAGTATCCTTTCATGAAAACTGCTCACAATCAGGATTCAGTGACATGAATTTTGAAGGCAAGACTACAGCTAGGTACTCCTAAGGATTAAAACGTCACAAGGACAACACTGTTTTCTCTTAGAACAAGAATGGTAAACCTAGGAAATTCAGAATTCAAGTTATTTTCAAAAGAAATCTGACTGTGCCACAGAAATGCAATTAAGAGTGCACAGCTCTTATCCCTAAGGGTCTTACACAAAGCACAATTCCAAAGCTACACATCTAAGCAGTGCCTCTGTCCCCAGCAAGACCACAGATGTAGATAAAGGCTACCTCTAGGGACATACAAGGCGCAGTCAGACAGATCATTTTTACCATCAGTGATTAATCACTCTCAGTTTGAAGCCATTCTCCCTTGTCCTATCACTGCATGCCCTTGTGAAAAGTCCCTCTCAAGCCTTCCTGTAGGCCTCCCTTTCAGTGCTGGAAGGTGCTCCAATGTCTCCCTGGAGCCTTCTCTTCTCCAGGTCAAACGAATCCAGCTCTCTCAGCCTCCAACCTCAAGGGGCATGGGGTGTTCCAGCCCTCTGATCATCTTTGTGCCCTCCTCTGGACCAGCTCTAGAGATCTCTCTCTGTCCCAGCTCCATGTCTTTCCTGTGCTGAGCACTCTAGAGCTGGATAAAGCATTCCAGGAGGGGTCTCATGAGAGTAGAGGGGGAGAATCATCTCCCTTGACCTACTGACTACACATCTTTTGATTTACCTGTTTACCACCAATTCTGTTGTAAAATGTTGCAGCCAAACACAGTAATTACACAGAATCACAGAATATTCTGAGTTGGAAGGGACCCACAAGGACCATTGAATCCAACTCTTAAGTGAATGGGGACTGAAGCAAAAAAGACTGCAAATCTGTTTATGAAATAGAACTGACTTCTGGTGAGCATCATAAAGCATCAGTGGAAAAATCTATGGTTTGTTGGAGCCATTGATAGCTCCACACTTGACTGAAACTCACTACCACAACCAGAAATCTTTGCTAATTAAGCTAAAACGATTCCTGGGCAACATTGTTTTTCTGGCCCTGTACCTGTTTCACCACTGAGTTACCTGTACCTGTAACAAGGAGTCCTCCAACACCTCAGTTTGTTTCTGTGGCTGGAACTGCTCTGATCAAATTTCATGCAAGGATGAATCCAAATAAAATTACAGTTAAATCAAATGGAATGAAGTCATAGATTTCCTTTGTCTATGGGGAGAAGGAAACAACCCATATAACTTGCAATAACAAAAATATTTTTAAAATATTTGTAAATAAAGTATGTAAACTCAAGCACGACTGCCACAGAAGTTCCTTTGGTGGGCAAAAAAGGAGCTATAACAGGCAAAAAAAGAGCAAATACATAGTTACTGTTGCTGCCAGGAAGTGATGCTGAAGAACAACATTCCACCATAACCTTGTTACCTGAAATCAAGAGTTTAGGAAGGGGCAACAGAGATTATGCAAGGCCATAGGTTTACTTAAAACCCAGCCCAAACAAGAGAATACTCACTGGGGAAGGGGATTTAGGAAAAGGCATGATACTAGCAGATAAATGCAAACTTCAGTGCTTTTGCTTTTAATTTTCAGTAAACCTTATCCTGCACAGCTCCCAAACCTTCAACCTTTCATTCTTAACAGGGCAACCTACTATATGATTATGGGGAGCAAGGGAATTGTGTTTCTGAGCTTATTTAAAGAAGGTGCACTGGCAGCACTAGGCAAAATGGACAAAAAGGAACCAGAAAAAAACCAGCCCAAAGCAGACGTGAATACATTCCCTGGGTACGTGTAACACACAGGGGCTGGCAGAGTAACTGAATAAAGCCAGTGCACTGTGAACAACAGGGTAACAGTCTTGAACGACTGAGCTTCAGGCAAGGCAACACCTGAGCATTCAGAGTACAGACAGCAACAACACCTAATGCCCAACAAATATACTGGGGGGGGGGAGAAAACAACAAAACTAAAACTGGGCATTTGAAATACAGGAGAAAAAAAAAGATGGTCACAGGACATTCACAATAATCTTGCAGAGAATCCACAATTCTATCAGACAGTTTTTTCGGGTCTGAAACCCTCTGCATGCAATATTACAGCGGGAGTTACAGATGGGGCAGAGAAGACCTTGACTGATGCAGAGGGGGGACACATTTCATAAAATATTGCAATAGTATCTGAGAGTCACAAGCTTCTGCTGTTTGCAGAAACATTGCTGCTTCTTGGTACAAGCTATTTTCCAGAAATTGCCCAGCGTCCATGGAAATATCCCTGTACATGTGAAGCAGAAAAGGCTTTATTCTTATTCAGCTATATCCAATGAAATTGTCCCTCCTTTCTATATCACTCCAAAGAGACACTGGGAAAGGTTAGACTGCCCTATGCAAAGCACACAGAAATACATTGAGCAATCATCTTTTCTGTCTCTGGGATCAACATCAGTGGGTGTCCAATAGGATTGAACTGCATGTCATGTATTTTGCATCAATTTTGCTGTAGTGTCTATGCAAGTTTCTAGATGACCAGTGTTCAGGAGTGCTCCCTCTCTCTTGTGCTCACTGCATTTGATGAGCACTCACAATTCCATAACACTTTTATGATCGAACAGTATCTGGTTTTGTCTTACAAAGAACCAACGCCTTTGCCCCAACCCCAATAACTCACCACATCACAGATGCAAGTCAGCATACACTTACGCCCGCTACCCAAACATTCAAAAGCTAAATCTGCCCTCAATGACGTATCAGTTCAGTATGCCCTGCACGTGCCTGGACACTCCCAAATCCGCAGCCAACCTGCCATTTTCATGGTGGTTGGGATGTTTCCTTTATAGCCCAATAACCTGCCACACATAACACACAATGAGCTGGCAAAGCACGTCTACAATACGCTTCCTCCAGTTCTTCAACCTGCTAAAAGGTGTGCTGTGGTCATCTCAAACTTACTCAGCTGTGGCATCTTTTCTTACCCATATCTTGGGAAACGAGATGGCTAGATGGGCTAGATGGGCTCTCTGACAGTCAAGTCATTATTAACTCCACAGTGCTTTGCAATCTGGACAGCAAGAAACACGGTCAGGTTTTCAGGTGACACAAACATTCACCTTCCCCTGCCACTAAGGTTAGGGAAACATCAAGATCTGCCAGTTCACCTATAGATGATGAAAGAAAAATGCCTACTTACTGTGTCAGGGGAAGGACAGAAGAGACTGGGGTTGTGGAAGCCCTGCCTATCTCACCAACTTGGAGGAACACATTTAATTG